AAAAATTGACTTCAGATATAGTTTGCCTTTTTAGGATATTCATTCCTCTTGTAGTATGAACATGGAGTGGGAGGGAAGGGGGAGTCTATCAACTAATTTTCAACTCCATGGGCTTTGTCCCCAACTGCCTTACCTTTCTGCACAAGAGTGATGTTGCATACTGTGCCTGCACACGGGCCCCATTTGCGGTGCCCGGCGGTTGCTGAAGGGCCCCCAGGCCGCATGCCATCCAGCACGCGCCCTGGCGGCCCACGGCGGCCTTTTGGGGCTGCAGGCACAGCCTGAGGCAGCACTCAGTTATTTATTTATTTACTTTCGTGCTGTCTTATTTTTGTCTGTGCAGATGTCGTTTCGGACTTACAGACCCCTAGGCGACGTCTTGGGCCAGGTACACAGGGACGAGGCGTTTCTGAGGCCAGGCGCGTTTTGGCGCCACGCTGCATCAGCAGCGCAGTCTGGATACCCGGTAGGGGCCCAGACCAAGTAGGCCGTTTTGAGGCCAGTACCTGCAGGCCCCAAGGCGACGCCTTGGGCCAGGTACACAAGGACGAGGCCTTTTTGAGGCCAGGCGTGTTTTGGCGCCTCGATGCATCAGCAGCTCGGTCTGGATACCCGGTACGGGCCCAGACCAAGCAGGCCGTTTTGAGGCCAGTACCTGAGGATGCCCAGCAGGCCCAGCACTACTTATGGCTGGGCTCAGGCTGGGAAGGGGACAGTGGGAGTAGCTCACTTCTTGAGTGACACACTACTGGATTCAGCGCTGCGCTCCTGAGTTGGAGGCTGAGCAACGTGAGGCAGCAAGGGAGGCGACATCTTCTTCTTCCTCAGCCTCCCTCTCTTCCTCCTCCTCCTTCTTCTTCCTCTCCTTCTTCTTCTTCTTCGTCTTCATCAGATACGAGAGTGAGAGAGAGGTTACAGGTAGAGGATACAGGCAGAGGTTATTGTGGGCAGAAGGCCCAGGATCTGATCCGACATTCTTGAGGCAAACATTGATTGGACATCGGCAAGGGACTATTTTTGGACTTCGCTATTGCGATCTTGGTCTTCTCCCTCGCCTCCATCTTCGTCTCTCCTCTTCCCCCCATCTCTCATCTGTGGTATTGTTGCATACTAGTGAATACTTCACCTAGTATGGGCAGAACCAAAGATCAACCAATATAGGATGAGCATGCATGCAGCGGAAGTCTGAGAAATGGACTGACTCACATAGACTGAACTCACCTAAACATCACTCAACACACAAACAATCATGAGATGGTGGGGTCTGAAGCCATACATAGACGATGCTTCAGCCCCGTACAACCATACAGAGATGAATGGTGGGAGGAGAGACGATGAAGGTGGGAGATATGGACAGCACCAGATGTCACCGAGATAGAATCCAGAAGGTCAACCGGACTGATGCTCCCCAGAATGGAAAAGGAGCCGGGGCCATAAGGTCCTGTTTTCAACAAAAAAAAAAATCCAGAAGGTCACCGATATGGTAGCCCAAAATGTCACCGAACAAAATCAGAATGTCGTGGACATAAGTCACCAATGTCGGAGGTACAGAATCCTATTGTAACCGATGTCCGATCTGTGATGCCGCCAGGTATCAATCCCAACTATCTCCAATGTCTCGAATCCGGTAAGTATCACATCCTCCTACCACCCAAGTCCAATCACTGATCTCTGTCCAACTCGTATCAATAGTCTCCAGTCTGAAGAAGAAGAAGAAGAAGGAGAAGAAGTCTGAAGAAGAAGAAGAAGAAGAAGAAGACGAAGACGAAGAAGAAGAAGAAGAAGAAGAAGAAGAAGAAGAAGAAGTCTGAAGAAGAAGTCTGAAGAAGAAGAAGAAGAAGAAGAAGAAGAAGAAGAAGAAGAAGAAGTCTGAAGAAGAAGTCTGAAGAAGAAGAAGAAGAAGAAGAAGAAGAAGAAGAAGGTCCGAGAGGGGCAGAGGAGAAGTGGAGGTGCAGAGAATAGAGAAGGGGGCGGAGGTGAGTCCTCCTGCCCGGGCCTTGCTGTCCAGGTCCTACCTGCGATGGCAAGGTATGACCTTGGAGCTGCTGAAGGCCGGCGACGAAGACCGGAGCTATGGACGCTCCTGCCGGTAAGTCGGCCGCTGCTCCTCTAACCTCCACTGCGCTAATCTGCGCTACATCGTCCTGATGCGCTGAGTGCTTGCGCTACTAAACTTAGCGCAGCGCTACCTCACTGCTGCGTTCCTCCGGAATGCCCCTGAACAGACCGCCGCTGGGTACTAAGTACTGTGGTGGCGTGTTCGGCCTTGCTGCTGCAAAACAGCGCCGTGATCTGAACCGTCAGATCCGGTTGCCCATCTGCGGTTTCAGATCAGCCTTGCGGGCGGCAGCCTCAAGGGCGCCGCCGGTCCAGCGGTAATATTGTTTGGACCGTGTCCGCCTGGGCCTGTGCGACGGGGCCTACCGGGCGGCCTTCCGCATAAGCCGGCCTGGACTATTGTGTCCAGGACTGTGGTACCCCCTAGGCCTAGTGGTCGGGCCCGAAAGGGACCTGTGTGAAATGCAGTATGTAACAGGTAGCTCCCCATGTGCGTGTACCAAGGAGGGACCTTTCTTCTATGTGTGTGGTCCCTCCTCCTCTCTCACATGTGTGATGAATGATGGGGTGTCGCGTCAGTCCCGGTCAGGTCAGGACTTATCTTAAAGGCTTCCACTGCGCTCTTTTGTGCCATTTTGTATGTATCAGGATGTACGTTGCTTGTTGATGTTTCACTGACATCGCATTGTCCATTCAGTCCTTTCCATCACATTGCGGATCCTTGGCTTCACGTACATTGCCCAACTGGGCATGTATCAAGTGACCTGTGTGGGAAATCTGGTAGCTATGGCTTCTTCTCTCCTCACCTACTCGTTGATACACCTCTGTCATCTCCAACCTCAAACACTACCTCACCCTCTCTGTACCTTCTCCCTCGCTGCTGCTATAGGTCTGACTGCGGATCACCAAGCGCCTTTTTTTGGTTTTTGGGAAATAACCAGCTGGGTCCACTGTGGGGGGTGATATGAGCACCTCTCCAAAGTAGGCCAGGCCGGTTGCTCCGATGTATTGGTGGGGAGTGTCACCTGCTGAAATTGAGTCCAGTGTCCCATATATATCCGATCTAAGCCGAGTGTCCTTAGTTACAGATCTCTCTCTCTCTCTCTCTCTCTCTCTCTCTCTCTCTCTCTCTCTCTCTCTCTCTCTCTCTCTCTCTCTCTCTCTCTCTC